GAAGGGCATTTGGCAAATCAAACACATCTGGGATGACTCAGAAAAAAACTGGCTTTTTGTCAGACAGCTTAGAGAAATGCTCAAGGGAAGCCACAACCTAGCCCAAAACCTCCAGCCGATAATAAAGGCCATCCCGATGGAGTGGCAAACAATTCTTCAAGGGGACAAACAGTGGTCAAAAGGAGACTGGGCAGTCATAACATTCATAAAACCGATTGAACATGCACTCGCCTTTATAGAAAAGGAAAATGGTAGAAACAACTGGCTCATTTTCTCCATGCACAAGCTAGAGGAACCAGGCGCAGACTACGGCAAACTAAACAAAGAACCAGTAGCACAAATCGCAGTCAAAGAAATTAACCTCAGAAAAGTCAGAGTAATAGAAAACGAAGACCTCACCTTATTCCACCCCCAAACTACCATAGAAGACCTAGAATTCGACCCCGCAGAATGGGCATGGAAATTAAAACAATCCACAATAAGTATAGACCGAAGAATCAACCTGATCAATTACACCACCAGTCTAGGCTATAAACTAAGGCGCAGATCAGCAGCCCCAGAAACAATCACAGCAGATCGCTGGAATAGACACCTAGGAATAGATAAGGAAATGTTAAAAGAAATACCTTGGAACCAAATAGCTACCTTACACCCCCCCAAATTCAAAAGTTTACAATGGCTAATTCTGTACTTAGCCATCCCACTCAACCTATGGCTAAACATTAGAAGAAAGAAAGAAGGCATACACCCCTTAAATGAACTATGTGCCAACTGTACAGAAGGACAGATAGAAGACTTATTTCACTGCTTCCTACTATGCCCCAAGATACAACCAATATGGGATAGGATCACTCAGATCTGGGCCTCAATTACCGACACAAATCTCACATCAAACCCTACCCTTCTACTATTAGGATTCACAATCCCCGAAGATTGGCCCCCCTTCCATAACAACCTATTCCAAATCCTACACAAGGCAACAATATGGTCAATTTGGAGGAAACGCTGTCAAGAAACGATAGACAAACAACCAATGCATGTGAAAGAAGCATGGCGTATCCTCAAACAACAAGTAGAAACGGAATACTGGGTGCTATGGCACAAAGTCAAAAGAAAGATGAAAGCCAACGAGCCCAAAGCCAAGGAATTTCAAACCAAATTCGAGGAGATCTGGACAAGGGCAAGATAGCAATCATCAAGGGGAAAAGCCTAATCTTTAAAATGTGGAATGTTCTAGCACAGACTAACAACCCAGATCCAGAACCAACGAACAGCACACCAAACTCAATCAGCATCCAAATTAGCTCCTCCTAACCCACCTCAGCCTACCACAATTAAGGCATATGTGAATACCCCAATATCTCCAATGACAACAACAACTAATTACGGACCTGGTCAACAGATGTTATGTCTAATCTCCAACCTCTGCAGACATCACTTCCGACAAAAGCAAACACACCACTGCATCATCTYGTACAATCCCATCAGCCCCCTTGCAACTGTCTCACGTCCAGCCTTTCACCCTACAATACACCACACTGGTCCTGAACCTCCCCCGCCAGACACGGCAACCCCCTCCTAAGCACTATGGAAACCCAAACCGGCAACCCCCTCCTAAGCACTATGGAAACCCAAAACCCCCATCTTAAACCCACAGACGCATGCCCTACCCAACCCATCATTCTATTACTACTGTCACCCTACACGCATTTACCACAAAGGCAGTAACAGCTACTTAAGAGAGAAAATCTAGGATAAGGGTCACAATCCGCAAGGTTGGAAGCTACCACGTAGCAGACAAACTAGCTAAATAGGATAGGGTTTAGGGTTTTAGCACCTGGTAGAACTGGTTAAAGACCCTTTTAAACCAGATAGTTTATGCGCTATAAACATTCATAGACAGCAGAAACTAGAAGAGGAAAATCTAGGGATAGGTAGTCCTAAAAGGGAAGGACAGGTCAGCAKTTCCAGTACCTAATGTGAATCAGACAGTCAAAGGGACTGAGAGGAACAGGCGAGGAGGTGTCCTTTCCAAGCAATTTAATAGGTGCTAGCCACCCAATTAAAGTAAAGAGGAACCGGACGGATGAACCAGCAGTTCTAGCATATCATGTGAATTCGACAGTCAAGGAACTGAGAGGAACAAGCTGTACAGGGGCCATGTGGGTCAGATACAGGCTACATTTTCCTTCTAGCAACCGAAGACGGAAGCAGGTACATCAGGCTAGCTTAGGCAGGGGTAAGGGGTGGTACATCCTTCCAGCGAGAAGTAATCAATCCCGTCCCTTGGGCCTTTCTACCATAAGGGGGAGGAGCTTGTGTGAGTACCCATTGTATTTCCTCCTGACTTGCCGGTGGAATAGGAACCGGACTGACGCTCCCCAGAATGGATAAGGAGCCGGAACCAAAAGGTTCTGTTAAAAAAAAATATTAAAAAAAATATCAATACAAGGAATGCTTGTGTCTGTGTGTTGTCATGTTCGCTATACACAACTCCACAAAAAAAAGGATGACTGTGCAAGACTGTTTCGCCGGACTTTCACGGACTCATCAGGAGGTTGTCTGTGTGCAACTTGCAGTATGCAACGTGTGTTTGCAGGTTATCAGTTGGGTGAGCCTTGTGGACTCAAACACCCCACGAGCCCTATCAGGTGACTCGGCTATAGCCAGGTCCAGGCAATGTCCTAGCCAGCATGGTTGCATCCCTGCCGACCGCCGACCCCGACCGCCGACTGTATTGCATCCAACCAGTAGGGCCGACCGGTCGCCGGTCTGCCGACCAGTCAGAAAACAACCATCCACTAATTTTTTTTCAGATCTGAGTTGGAAGCTGAACTGCACTTGCTGAGTATAGCCCAGATCCGCTGAGAATTTTTTGGGGATGGGGGGGTTGGGGGAGGGGTGTATAGGGGG